GTTCCCTGCAGCTGTGGCAGAACGTATGTCGGTGAGGCCGGGCGCACTGTGTCTGAACGACGTAGGGAACACATTAGTCATTACAACAAAAAACAAACCTACCGTTCGGCCATAGCACTCCATTCCGAGGTCACTGGACATGCCATTGAATTTGACAAGACCCGGCTCCTACACAGTGAAAACCGATACTGGCTTAGACTCATGAAAAAGGCAAAAGAAATCAGTAGACGGCCGCACATCAACGCGGATGCAGACCTTAATCTAAACAACGCCTGGAAGTATATTCTACCATCAATTCCTGACTGCGCGGGGGCTGTTCAACACCGTCCGATCTCTAGGACGGCTGGTGCGAGGCCCGGGTTGGCTGAGACCGCAACCAAATCGGAGGGACCTCTCCACCAATCACGGCGCACTTGCGTTACCGGAGCCCCTAGGCTGAAAAAGGTGTAACACCGGAGGCAGAGCTTTACTGTGTCGCTACCCTGAAGCAGCCTGCGATATGACAGGCGAAACGTCGGTCTCTCTTCCAAAGACGCGGCGTCACACGGACAGCCTAGAAGGCATGAAGGTCACAGTGTCTCTAGTTCCAGTCACAGGCGGCATAGATCTTCGGGACAGGGTACAAAAGTTGGTACACCGATGTGAAAGAGTGGGTACTATGTCGAAAAATAGATGAAGCATTGCAGTACCTGTTGCCAATAGTTTTACATGTAATTATGTTGTCGTTTATTAATAAAAATATGGCAACGTACTTTCTGGATGCGCTATGTACATGCAAAGTTGTACACTACCAATTCTGTGGTAAATGGTACTTCACTGGTGTGACAATCACAATTGTCGAATGTACCATCATTCCGAATGATTTCGAATTGACAGTCTAGCACAAGAACACCTATATTTTTATCAAAAAATGAATACCTCCATTCTGAGGAGAGTTCATTTGTACCAGGTAAATATTTATATACATCAATCGCCGGAGAACGGCACGGTGAACTCCCCTCGAACGCTGCTCAAGGTCTCGTCCTGCAAAGGGCATGCTTTCGTCTCACTGAATAGACGGTTTGTGGTCGCTTGCTCGAAGTTCACTTTCAAACAGAAAGTGTTTGTGTGTGACATACGTAAAATGTGTCAAACCGTTATGTGCACTGTATCCAGGATTCTTTCTTCCAAAAGACAAATGAAGAGCGTACTTAGTGGCAGCGCGATTGCAGAGTCTCGTTGAAAATGACCGTAATTACGTCCATTTGTCAACATTTGGAAGAAAGGATCATGATAAGATGCACAACCAACGTGAAAAATCAACACGGTGTGAAACTGGTCATTAATAATGTATGGTTTATGTATGTTAAGTTATTGTAATGTGTAGATGTCTGATCTAATTTACAATGTATTTCCAGTCTTCTCTGAGAATTAAATGTAAACTACTGATTGTACGTTCGGCAATTTTAGTTGCGTCACATTTGCATCTTCTTCTCAGAACCTCAGAACACTCAGAACCTATACCTCATTGAAATTATACAAAAGTACTCCACGACTATAGATATCTAAGGAGGTGAAGCACAACAAAATATTTTCATGTGCATCTCTGTATTAAGCAATATTTTGGATCGAGCAATCCTTGCTGAAGGTTAGGAGTTTAAATGAATGTCCCTTTTGCTCTCAAGGTGATGAAGACAGAATGCCAATTATGACGAACACGACTGGATTTGCATTAGTCATGCGGCGGACTTTAATGGCAACGTCCTTGTTCTTCAATTTATTCTCGTCCACGTCGGTATTTATTTCATTATCGCTTGGTACAGAGGTTGCATTTTCGAAGTATGATTTATTCACTACGTTGTTTTGACTTATTAATTTTGATCGTACGATGAATATAATTCCTAAGATCATAAAAACATTTCTATTGAAGACTGCGTTTACTTCTTTGAATGTTCTACGCACGAGACTTAATATTAGACTCGTTTAATGCAAAATTTAGGCTAATGAAATATTGCGAAAATCAGATGCACAGAAACATCGAAAAGTTTTCCTGTTTCCTTTATGGCCGAAAGGTTATACAGAATATTGACAAAATTACAGGACGGAAAGCCCTAAATTACATAAGTTGTTGTACTAACAATTTACAAACATCATGTGGACTGGTTTAATGGATTGTTGTTTAAATCTAGAATGTTCGCGGTACAAGGATTTATGTGTGAACTTTAAAATTCTCACGTTTATTATTAGTGAAGAAAGGAAATTCATTCATCTTAGATATTTTGTAACCAGTTGCTGAGTAGAATCTTAGCTTGCTCATGTATATTTATTTTGTAATTATAATCAAAGAAAATTACATTTATTCTCAAGAAATTGTCTCTTTAGTTATTACCATTTTCAATATAATTAATATATTATTTACATATGTTCTTTTAGATTTTAATGTAATTTCCACACACTAATTGAAAGGGGTGCCTGGAAAAAGGATGTAACCAAAAAAATTGTCGAAATAGGATTAATCTAAGTTTAAATATCGAAGTTTCATCGATATCTAAATATCGACGCTATACATCGTGGCGCACTCACTTTTTCGATAAGTGTAATTGTTCTCTAGTTATTAATAGTTGAACACCGCTTTTCGTGGATGTAGGATGTAACAGGTCAAGATAGTTCTGTATGGGTGCAGATGAAGGGTCATCGCTTGTCGCGCTAAAGCATGTTAATAAGGACCGCAGGCCTAAAATAACTGTAGGTAATTGGAAGGTCATTGGAAGAAAATGCCTCAAAGATCATACTGAAGAATAAACGAGGGAAGGTGCTAGGAAAGGTGCTATAAAATGTGCGAGACAACCTTCTACCGAGGGAATATTACTTTTCTAATAATTCTTAATTTAATTTGTAGGCGGTTAATTTCAATGCAAAAATGAAGGTGGCAAGAAAATTTGATATGAAGCAACTTCTCTTTACAGAGTATGATTTAAAGAAACAAAATGAACCATCATAGTTCCTAACAAAATGGATAGGTGCGACAGTAAAAGATGTTTTTTCCAAAGGAAAGCATTTCTCGGATTTTAATTTTTTTTAACATTGAATGTATTTTGCATGCATGCAATGTATGAGTGCATGTGAATTTAAAGACGCTACTAGAAGTATTTGATCTCAATCCAAAACGCATTTATATGTGCTACAGGAAAAATAACGAACGGTACCTCTCTTGTAGATTGTACAGGCAAACAACTTAAACGACTTAAACGAAAAGATTCCATTGTGCAGCGTGTTGGGGTTTCCCATTCAAGAGCCAATACAGCAGAACCCAGAGTACAAGGAAATAACTTCCATCGAATTTAAATATATGGATAATAAATGACATGTTCAAAAAAAATACTTCTATGCACTGATGTGCAACGAGTGTTGTTTTCTCCCATGATAACACCCTCAAATGTTCATTGCTGCAAATTTTCTACATGTAACTAATGTTGACCCTGATAAAGTGTCCATGCAAATTTGGCATGAAGCAGTTCCTAAAACGGGGTCGTCTGAGGTTGCTTCCTGTTTTCGGTTATATTATTGATATATTTTAGCAGTTATCCATTGTTGGTTGGAGACATGTATTATTTGGCTAAATTAATAAGCCCAAATTTCTCTCACTGTTTAAATATTTTGTTCTGTGGGATTAATTTCCTTCAATACAATAACAGTTCAATACAATACAGCAAAATTCATTGGAATGTATATATGTTATCACTGAAGCTTTGTGGCTTAAAATTTCAGATCTATTATATGTGCATTTGAAGAAATTGTCTAATGGTACAACCATGCTGTGTGTATGCTTGCAAAAAGGGGAGCTATGTCACTGGACCTGTTACGTTACTCCCCTCACACTTTTATATACGAGAGTCGATTACAAATTTATGATGGGGGGGGGGAATGATCGGGGCACTGTACGTGGCAACATAAAAGTGCGAGTATAAGTATTAAAGTTAAAATTTTATTTTATGGTATCTCAATTATATTTAGGAAGACCATCATTAATTCGCTTAGAAATGAGCAACAATCGATTTAATTTTGCGAACAATGATAATACATCCTGTCTTCATTGTGACAGTTTCACAAGCTATAATAATGTGAACACACACATACATAATCATGAAATATGCTTGAATAAAGTTGTATTCCCACTTATGTCCACGGATTCACTGATGTATTTTATGAAATATATCCTACAAACACGTTTTCGTTCTACTGTAAAATCGTGGATTTGTTAGTTACATCCTTTTTTCGAATACCCCTTCAATTGCACAAAATCCCCAACATTACATTTGTTTTTGTTTAACAAAAATACGACCTAATATCAATATCTCTCAACAATGCAATTATTTTCAGCAAACAGTGAGAAAATAAAACTAAATGGTACAAAATATAATTTCATTTTATTCCTTCTGGATTCTTTCTTCTCAATGCACAAGGCATTCAATGTTTGGAACGTTTCAGAAGAATTCTAACAACTCTCAAAACAAAATTAATATATTTATCTGATATGAAGCGTCTTAGTCGTTTCACACACTTTCATGTGAGAAAATAATAGTTTATTATTTTGTATTCTCTCAATTAGACTAGATTCTAGTTGGGTCGATGAAATTTTTGCGAAACTTTTTGTAAGTCACAAAAACTCTTTCTGGTTAGATCTTTCAATTCAGTTTCCGTTATAGGTTTTTGTTTTTTGGCTGGTCTCAATTTTAGTTATGTGTCAACTTGGTTTTCAGAATGCTATAGTTTGTCCATTGCGCTCTGGCGCGGATTGGCCAAGATTAAATACGTTCAAAAGCTTTTCACTGTTAAATTTGAGTAATGTATTATCTTAATGTTCTGTGTTCCATTGCATGTGCTTGTTCCCATGGCTCAGATTGGCCGAGTTTGTAAGCTTGTATCTAAAAATGTTTCGAGCACTGCATTTGAGTAGTGTGCGTCCTTGGTTTCGTGTCCCATAGCCTTTCCGATGCGGTGTGCGCAGGGCGCGGCGGGGCATGGCGGCAGGCGGCGAGGGCGAAGGCGCGGCCGCGGGCGTGTGCGCGCGGTGGCGGTGGCGGGCGGCGGGGCCGCAGGAGCGCACGCGGGCTCGTGCGCGAGGGCGGCGGTGCGGGCGCGGGAGGCTGGCGGCGCTGGGGCTGCTGGGCGCTGCGTTGGCCTCGGGCGGCGCTACCCTGGCCCTGCTCTGGCCCGCCGTCTTCCGCGCCATCCTGCACAGAGTGAGTGTTGGGGCTGCGGCTGTGCAGCTCGGGGGCTCTGCGTAGGAAGAATGCAGGAGATTTCGAGGACTAGGGATTCGCGTGAGAGCAATTGTGCTGACTTGCTTGCTGGGATCGGGGGCCTGTGTTCGAGGTTGGGGCAGAGGAGGGAGTAGGAATCTGGGGGTTGGAGTACGGAAACTAGGGATCTAAAAGGTGGATGTGGTCTATAGTCCGGTGGGGTGGCGAGTCCATGGGTTTGTGTTGGAGTTATTGGATACTAAGATGTGTGCTTGAAGCTTAGGAGGTGGGCGATTAATGAACTCTGCTAAGGATTAGCATGAATCCCATTGGCAAAGACACATTTGCAAATTTTGGGTAATTCAATGTAAAACCTTCGTGGAAATGCTTAATTACACTACCGAGGAAAACGTTAGAAACAGACATGTACTGAAATGAAAATCGTGTGAAAAAACAAAATATTTGCATGAAGTGTATCTTCACCAATTATTTACATAAGAATTATGTTTACTTTATTTTCCTACAGTACATATAAATTTTATTTTTACGTTCTACAAAAAGTGATGCCTTTAATTGAAACTTAAGAGCATTTTTGAATGGCACCCGCGCAAAACCGTTGCGGAGTGAAAAGGGGTCAGCTAAGTGCGCCAGTGACCACGACAACCGTTGAAGTGAAAGAGCCCGCCGTCTCATGCTTTCGACCTCCAGGGTGCGGCTTGCTCCGGCGGTTGCTATGACAACCGTGACGTCACTCGCGAAACTCACTGTTGTCGCGCTGAAGAAGAGAATACGAATACGATTAGTCTTCCAATATGAAATTCGTTCGTGTCGAGCTTCTTTGATAATGCTGTGGTGATTCAAATATGAATTATTTGTATGATATAGTGTGCATTTTATTAGAAGCTCTGTTTTAATGTTGGCAAGACTACAATAAGGAAGTTTTAAACTATGGACGCCATAGTGAATCTCTCCGAAATGTGGTTCAAGAGAAGATAAAGATGCGAGGTATTACTGCAACCTTATTTATATTTTTTCAAACCTTTTTTTAAATTTTGGACAACCATAATTAAATATTATGAAAATTGTTTCTTGTCATTTATTTCATTATTTTATTCAAATGAAAAATTTGTTCAATTTATAAAATAGAGAAATTGATCGTGTTCAGACGGTTGTAGTGTTCCTCTCCAACTCCACAGAAATTGTTTTGTTGGTCATGCTGGACTTGGCAAAAAAGAAACAGAATCAGTATTAGCTGCTATGCTAACAAATGCACAATAAATCGTGGGAGTTAAAAAAACTGTTGATATTGATGGTATCAAGAAGTCTAGGTGAGGTTCAAATCAGTATTCAGATAAAAAATGTATTCAGTGATAAATCAAGAAGTAATTTATATGAATTAATAGAATGATTTTCAGACTACGTCAATCACATTGTACAAACATAATTGATAACATCTGATGTTACACAGGTTTCTCATGTTCAGTAATTGTGAAGATTGTTAACGCTGTTGGAACTGTAGTGTAGCATTTCTTAGGTCTGCATAATGTGAGTACTGGTAAATCATCAGATACGTGTTTGCTTTTTGGACAAACTTTTGAAACCACATGGCAGTGACCAAAATTAGTAGATCAACGTAATTATGTTGCAAATCTTATGTGCGGTGGTTTAAACGGACTTCAGAAAAATATAAGTAAATCCCAATTCCAGTATTTCTGTAAGGTTTAGCACACCGCCTAAATTTGGCATTACACATAATTGTAAAGGAATAGTAGCACATTTTTATCCATTGTTGAAATTAGTTTCCTCTTTCCATCCATCAGCTCAGAGAACATACACAATTACATCTGAATCGGACCACGCATTACAATTGTAACCCCTGTCCCCTGGAAGACCAACTCGAAATTATTAAGCGTAATTGTTGGTGGCTGGGAAAAGTTAAGAGATGTGGTCGAAACCACGGTTCAGTCTGAACAGTCGGACGGTCAGTCTATTAAGATTGCAAGAGGCTTTCACGACATAGTTTTGATTTCGCATTACGTTTCAAGACATTTTGTTTGACAGGTAATCCGTCTGATGTTTTGGAAAAGACAACATTGGATATAAATTGTTTTATATCGAAAGTAAAGACTAATAGTGACCATAAAGCCCGAACAGTATTTTTCTACTTTTCAAAATAATTTATAATAATAAATAATTTGCGCCTCGCAGGAGAGTTGAGCTTTCTGGCTGAGGAGGAATGTGTTAAAATTTATCGAGAGTTTTGTAATGAAAATTAGAGCCACATTTTGATGAAAATGGAATAGAGATTTCGCTATTGTGAAAAATGGTTTTTTGTCTTGCTAACAGCATAAAATTTGAAGAATTCAGTAAAGGGTTTCCTTTAAGTGCACTTGAAAATCTACAAAATTTCTTTGAATCTGTCTTCCTCCAAAACACATCGGCTAAGAAACGAATTTATATGCCAATAAAAAGCAGATTTCTATTCAGATATTTTAAATCCTTCGAGGATCAGGACATTGGTAGAAATTTTTTTTTTCATGTTTGAAACTCACAAAAATAGATGAAATTCGGAAACACTTGAAAAATCACGAATTACATTTCAGCTAGACTTTCTTCAGTGAGAAATAGTATAATTCAGAAGAAACGTCTGCAGTTAATAAGGATATTAATGAATGAAGATCTTACTCAGGCTCACAGCCTTTAAGGGCCGAAAAAACTTATTTGAGATGCAATTGGAGAGTTCAATTAATAAAATAAACTTTTGTAACTTTATATATTTCAATACAAGCTCTTCACCTAACTTCACAGCCACGTGCTTCCACAGCATTGCAACACTCGTTGATGAAAATGCAGCCACTACTTCGAAACCCATGACATTTGTAGAGAACGAAAACATAAATTTGAGTTATAATAAATAGAAAGAGAACAGTAGTAATGTGTTTTTGTCGCAATTTATCAGGTACAAATTTGTAGTGTTCTTCACGATCAAATAAATGCACACGTTACGGTAGTTTCTACATGTTCCAAAAGCTAACAACGCTATTGCACTCGCGAAAACTTAAAAATGGCGTACACGTAATGAGGTAAAAATCCTGGACATTTCCTCATAATATTCGCGCAGAAAATTTGCGTTGAATTCTCAAGATGTAAAAGTGGATTAAAATAAGCGTTCACAAATTTCTAGAAGCGCAATCTTCTGTGCCCTAGGCAGTGAAAGTGGTATGATATACAAGGTATGAACCGGATGCGTGGCCAATATAGTTCCGGGAGCCAACTAAGCTTCGTAGAACGATAATTTCTAGGTAAGGCGTATCGACGACTGCCAAATTTCGACCCCAACTGGGCAGATGCGTTATTGTCGTTAGCTGGAAAATAATTTAAGCCACTCAATAAGCAAAGTTAAATTTTGTTAAGAGATTAGCAAGTCACTGGCGAAGTAGTGTAAATGTCATACCTTTTATCCAATAATCTTTGTTGCTGCCTGAAGACGCTTTTCATTATACACAGGGTGCAAAGTAGGTGTTCAGAAGGTATTATTATACAGAAAATAGTTTGCTAAAGAAATTATAATGAAATACGAAGGAAATGTTTTAGAAAATAGATTGATGACGTCACAATAGGAATGACACAAATTGTCATTGAGTGCAATGTCTCAACTACTCAATGTCTTAAGTACTCAGTATGTTCACAGGTTCTCCTTGTGGTTTCCTTTTGGGCTTTAGATAAATGACTGAGCAACAACCATTTCATTTTCATGGGTAGTAACATTCACTGGCGCATTACAGATAGATCAAATTTTATCAAATTTGTTCCGCAATCTGTAAATGGAATAGTTTATTTCAGAAAGCCGTCAAACGCCAAATTCCTAATTTGGAGAAAATAGAGAAATTTCCCAATTTTTCTGATTTCAAAATATTCATTATTAAATATTTAATTTTTAAATATGCATTATTAAATAAAAATATTTTTGGTATTAATATGCACTAAACGATGTTTATCCCTTTGGAACAATAATCCGCCGCCAATGCGCGTTTCAGATTTTGACGTCTGACGTGTTTCTGAAATAATGGATTCAATTAATAGTCTACTTGATAGAGGTGTATCAATTTCTTCTATTTCTGTCGCATTCTGTCTTCTCGTATTGTTTAATTATCTACTTCCGTTGGTCGTACTTTCATTCTAGGCCATGATTATCTGAATATCTGAAAGATTAGAAAAATGATCCTAGAACAGATAAAAAAAACATAGTATACGTTCTGTATACGTACGTATGCACCCCCGAGTCTGGATATTTCCTAGCGCTTCCCAGCTCCTAGCTAGCGGAGCCCACGATTTCGAGAAAGCCCCAAAAGCTTAAATTCAGGAATAAAGCACTTAATTAGCCTGAAATAAGCCTTTTGAATACGGTTGGGACGGGTTGGGTTTCGGGCACTGCTAGCGTTCGATGGCTCAGAAAGCGCGAAGTGGGTGCCGACGGGGGCCGTGTGCGCAGGAGCTGACGCTGACAGAGTCGTCCACCGCCTTCCGCATGTGGAAGGAGCCCCCCGTTCCCATCTTCATAGAGTTCTTCTTCTTCAACTGGACCAACCCCGAGGAGCTGAACACGCCGGGCTCCCAGCCGCACCTCCAGGAGTGCGGCCCCTACGTCTTCCGGTGAGTGCCTCGCCCGCCCCCGCACGAGGGCAGGACAGGACACGCTTGTAAACCTCGAATCACTCTTGTCGTGCAAATCAAAATCAACACCACTAAAACGAGCGAAAAAACCCAACTATTTTTGAATGCTGTACAATGGAATATTGGCGCCCCAGTTTGTGGGTTCACGAACTTGGCAAGGTGACTGGCTCTCTTGGCGGTTATTCCAGACATTATTATTATTATTATTATTATTATTATTATTATTATTATTATTATTATTATTATTATTTATTATTATTTAGATTAATAATAATAAAAACTGCATTCATTTACATCAGAACTTTAAAATTTATTTTTCTAAGATATGAAAACAATTAGGGGATAATTCTTCGTGCACAACAGAATGAGTTTTCTGATAAATATTAAATGTTCATATTTCTAAATAGTATTACTGGGCGTTAAGTGGTCTCCACAGATCAGGCCGCTCATTGTTCACAGCTAGTTAGGGGTTCGGTCCGCCGATGTGAAATTATTGAAAGCAAGTTGCATCCCTGTCATTCCATTGCAACATTTCTTTAATCATTTTCATTTGAGTGGTCACCGATTCAATGTGGCAGCTTAATTTGAGGCAACGCCTCATCCGCATCCTAGTTCAAAACTGCCTACTCCCACTATTCATTCATAGCTGTTGAAGAACTGCTGATGTTCATCGTACGTAATGTGATACGCGTATTTGACTCGCTAATTACCTACAGAAGTTCTAATCTCGTTTGCATGATGTATTTATTTCACTCTTCTAATGCTACATATGCCATTGCACTTAATTGTGCCTTTGTTGTGCCGGAACAGTAAAGTTGAAGAAAGAAATAATTTGCAAGTGTAAAATTATTTTAATTACTTCAGTGATAAATCTTTGTCGGTTTGGTCACACTTTAGAAGATGATAAAAATATAATGAAAATAAAAAATGAATGACAATTAGAAGGCACTAGAAATAATGGATATTGGAATGTGTTATAGTAGAAAAGTGACTCGGAGTATTCGCACAATACACAACAACGTGGGGGCTGTGAGTTTCAGTGCAGTCTCCGGTAAGATTTGTCGATGATGATGATGATGGTGATGATGATGATACCGGTAAAAATGAAGAGTATCGAGAGACGCTTTGTGAAGGCTGGACAGGGCCCCAAGCAAAACTTCGTTTCCACGCAGAGGCCAAATCCGGTAGGGGGCCGGTCCCAATCGCAGGCGGACGCGCGCGGAGCGACCCGCGGAAGCAACAGGGTTAACGAGGGCTTAACGAACCTAATGGCGGATGATGCTAATGCCAGAAGCCGCGGGCCGCCAGCAGACTCCAAAGCCGAAAAGCCCAGACTCGCAAGCAGACCTCGTTAGCCGTTCGGAGGGTGATGAGTAGGGCTGCCAGAATGTTTTGGAATTGGTGGCATTTTACTGCAATTTGTAACACATCTCATGGAAATGTTCAATCTTCTTTTGTGACAATATTAACCACGAGAAGTGCTGAATACAGATTTCCCCCTCTTTCTCTCTCTATCGTTTTTAGACTTGCCGATATATTTTTAATTTTCTAAAATATCAAAATCACTCACAATCGCTCAAAATCAAAATATACGAATACATACGAATGTCTTTACAATCAGTCCTACAGACGAAGGGGAATACAGCGCAATCTTTTTGTACAACTGAAATCAATTAACCAATAAGATACAAGTTTTAAAAAATCTTTTAAGTAAACCTCCTTAACCCTTGTCTACTTGTCAATTTGTTCATTTGAGGCCACAAAAGAAACGAGATGCAACTAATAAAATTTTCTGGAAAAAATATAGGCAAAATGTAACAATTGGAACTATTTGGGCGTACCTTGTGACAAGGTCAGTTTGCCTGAGCTGAGGCTTTTGCTTATCAGTCAAGGCAACGAAAAATGTAAGCACTTGCGTCAAACACCCGGGTTTGTGTTTGTTCAAACCCAGTTGGGCAATGGATTTTCGAAGGGTGGAACATTTGGGTTCGTAATTTCAAATACACTTGTGGCTCACTTTAATATTCAGACACACACACACACACACACACACACACACACACACACACACACACACAGATATTCCAGAAATTGTAGGTTCTGTGATATGTTGACGGTTGTGGGAAATAAATAAATAAAATAAACAAAGTGAAACATACTAAACAAACTAGAAATGTCCAAAGTCTTTTTGCGTCCCAATTCGGCGCTGTGTTGCTTGCATTCATCAGTACCAAGGTATTTGTTTGGTTTTGTGAAACTATTTGTGTAGAAATATGGGAAGAACCTATTTGTCAAGATAGTTTCATTTTATTTCTGTTAAATTACTCTGCCAAGTTTCCACAGACCCAAAACTGAAAGATTCTTTAGTGTCTACAAACTTTTACACTAACTGTAAGTCACTAGGGAGCATGCTGGTTCAGCACATCTGTATGAAGGGTTGCGAATTCGAATCCCCATCCCCGAGTAGTCGGTTGGGGTGAATGACGGTGCTCTTTCCTGCAGATGCTCCCACTGTTGCCGTGAGAGGATTCAAATCTGGGTCTCTTTACTTGTTTTTTGTTTCTTTGGCGCGTGAGAGCCTGTCTTCACGATGGAATGTCTCACGGCATTTCTCGGTTGTGCCGTTGGATGTAGCATGATCGCCAGCATTGTTCGATGCGGTCGCGATCATACGACATTAGCGTTACGACCGAGAAAAGCGCGAAATGCCGTGAGAGATTCCATGGCGCGTGAGGACTTTTCTTCACCAAGAAATAAAAAAACTAAGTATAGCTGGCTATTCGCTGAATTAAACTGTTGGTATATATTTTATCGTCTACTACATGCTTGCGTAGTAACTAGAAAATATAATGCTGCAGCGGAAACGTAAGATTTTCCGTCAGAAAAATTGTGTGGCCCTCGTATCGAAAAAGGTCATGGACTTTGTTTAATGGTAGGGAGATAATACCCAATATTATTAAAGACAATCTAGTTTTCATAAATGGTTAAATTTTGTTGATTAACAAACATTCCGCATTGATAATAAAAGCGTAAATTATTTTATGACAAATGAACAATGTTTGCGTAATCATATTTTTGTATCGTGTAAAAGACTGTAAACCCAAGTAAACAGATTTAATAATGGTTACTTCCCAGATACATTATTTCTCTACATTTTATAGTCTCCCTGACATTCTTTCCTACACTCTCCCTTCATCCGTTTTGATTTCTAAACCTTCCAAGTAATCTTAACCTCTTCCCTCCCCCTCTAATTTTCCTTTCCCCATATTATTGTAATTTCCGTTGGACGAGCACACTCGCCGCGCCGCGCCGCGCCGCGCCGCGCCGCGCCGCCGACCGCTGCCTCGTTTTTGTACCGGTTTATTTTAAATAAGAATGTGTGAAAACCAGAACGGTATAAAAGACATTCTATAATTTCTGGGGAAAACGTGTATATTTTAGGCGCTATTTCAGTTGCAATGACGTTTCGTGATTTTAATGAATAATTAAAATGCCGAAATTAATGATGAAACAACACACAGGATGTGGTGGTGGTAATATTATTAAAATACTTGCAACTGAACACAGACTTGTCACCCCCGCTAGAATCGATCCCAGATCCCCTGGTTTACGGCCAGCTCTAATCTGAGATACCTTCAGACCAAAGCTTTGAACGGTTTCTTAGATCCGATATGGTGCCGATTATACGAGTATAACGATTAATGATTAAAATAAAGGCGTTCGTTTCTGTGGACAGTATAATTTGTATTAAAATATAAACTGTTACTCAACATAAAAGATTTTACTTGGCATTTAAACGTGTGTGGATTTTAATTGTTTAAATCATATGGCAAAGCCCACGTAACGTAAAATAACATAGGTATTAAACATGTATTATTTGATTTCTTGTTGTAAGTTGTTGATACTAACACCTGATGAATACGATTCCTAACCCCCCGTAAATTGCATTGAGATGTTTTCCCGCCCTTAAGTTAGTTTTGGACAAACCTTCTAACACGTAAACGAATAGGTCATTCATTTAAATTCGCTATACTGTCTGCGTACATATACACTACAAAGAAATGTTGAAATTAGCTTCAGGAAAATGTTGGTGTCGTATATTCAGCTATCAAAGTAGAAAAGTACATCAAAGTTGTTATTCGCGTTTGTTAAAAACAGGAATTCTTTTTTCGATTAAAGAGGTCTATGCCAACTAATTATGTAGACGGAATTGTTATTAATTTTATTGTTATTGTTAATGTTATTTGTTGCAGACAAATGATTTCATTTTAGGGAACGACTGAATTTAAATTGAGTTTGCTCTAATTCCCAGTTTCAGTTACCTGCTGATCTTTGGTCCTAGAAATGCAAAAGGGATACCCGATGTTATACGTTTGGTCGCTTCCTCCTCCGAGGAGGGCGGGATCATGCAGCATTACGTAAGACGCTCCGGATTGCTATTGAACGGGATCTCTCCGCGGCACAGAATTACGTAAAAGCATCAAGAAGTTGATGTCAGGATGAAGCATTATAACTCTAAAAGAAATCTCTACAAAATAATCGACACAATATTCGTATTACGGTACTTTCTCAAATATAAGCCGCCTTTCGTTAAAAAAATATATTTTAGATATCCAGCCTGGATTTTTCGTGAGAGCTGACAGTGAAAGTTGCCAGGAATTGAGGGATGTTTAAATATTACTGTAACGAATAGCGTACGAAACGTACGAACTACAGGAAGTTTTCTTAAAGTATCGTAAGGGAAGGGGCTTATACGCGAGGGAGCGTATATTCGAGAAAATATGGTAGTTATTCAGATGATGTATTTACTACCAAATACAATGGTATACGAAGTAGTCTGCGATTAACGAGTTGTGAGAGATGATATCGTAGTCAATGAAAGTTGATTTTCCTCGTAGCACTGCATGTATAAAATTAACAATAACTGGGAAGCAGTTGTACCCGGTTTCGCTCAAGGCAGGCACGGCGCATCCGGTATAGCAGCGGTAGAACTTAAGATGACTTAGAACGTCAGAAACGCAGAACCTTAAATAACGTTAGATGACTGAACGCTCCCACAGCATATTTACCCTAAAATAAATGAAGAAATAGCCATTTTTACCCGTTACCAATAGTACCAGAAAATAAGAGCTGCTGTAGCCCTACTAGTTTCTATATAGTTTGCATTTGTGTTCAGGGGAAGGGAACGAGAACATCTTTGTGATGGTAGGTTTTAGTTTCAATAATTGGATAAATATTTTGTAAGTGATTTTCAGTGATTACTTTCTGTAATGCAATTCTCAATTTCGGAGTGACAGGTGTGAAGGGAGGTGAAGTCTGCCGAGATAACATTGGACAGAAGTGTTGATAACTGTTATAAATTATACGATAAACTCTAGCAACATTACTTTTCAAAAATGAGATATGGTTTTAATAATTTCCATGGAAATCGTTTTAAAAAATACCTAAACAAGATTTTCTCAAGTCTCAGAATTTTATTTAATATTATGCTGAAATTGAGCAAACGTATCGTCATAATACGGCATATGTCCAATATTGATCAAAACCTTTGGAATTTCAAAACTTGTACACGTTCAAAATTTGTTCAACAAACTTCAACATTTTAAAAGACCAGCTGAAGTACCCCGCCTTTCTCAGGTATTAGAAAGGAAATCAAGGCAATCAAGTATTAGACAGTAAAAGGAGTGATTTCTCTGTATAATGTATTTCTCACCATACAGCTTCTCTTTCTTGCCCTGTCTCACCCTACCCCACCCGGGCCTGCCCTGCCTTGCACCATGCAAAGACATCATGCCATGCCACGCCATACTGTTAAAGCATCTGGTGTCAATTACCTTCGGGTATTATACTCGACATTAGCCAATCGATAACACGCTGACTGCGCGCGATTCGATGGGTTAAAGGTGGCCTCAATGTAATGGTTCATTGGCGTTTTATTGATGTCAAAATTTATTAGAAACTATAAATTTACATTGGTGAAATAATTCTATCAAGTATCTCTTAGTGTCTTATCAGTTCTCAGATATTGATAATTTCCAGAGTACTGTTGATATTGCCAGTGATTAAAAGGTTTAGTGCTTGAATGGTTGAATGTCTCTGTCGCTAATTACATGAAGTAACAGCGCTCTGGCACTTCTGAACCTCCAGCGTCGTTGGAGGTGGAATGAGAGTGAGCGAGTGAGTCAGCCAGGGTGTGTGCGCTGCGCAGGGAGGTCCACGAGAAGAAGGACGTGCAGTGGAACGCCAACGCGACCGTGTCCTTCTGGCGCCAGCGCCACTGGTTCTTCGACGCTGAGAGGTCGGGCGGCGAACTCTCCGACCAAATCACCACGCTCAACGTCATCGCCCTGGTGAGTGGACGGCCGACAAACAGAACGACGTTAACAATGTCGAATATAAATGCGAAGCAGGGACTGAAATATGTCTTCCAAGGTAAGTGGCTCAGGGCGTAGCGCGCTGACGTCGCAGTTAGGATTCGTGGCCGGAGATTTCGTGGTTTCCCTCGGTCCTTCAGGAGAATGCTGGAATGGTTCAAAAAGCAAAACGATTACCTTTCGACTCATGATCATATCCTCTTTTTAATTCAAGGCTTTACAACCTTGTCTTACCAAGGGGAAAATTAATAAAAAAAAATAATTATATAAATATAATTATCCCCCTCTATGTATTAATATGACAGTGAGAGAGTTGTTAACCAGATAAGAGACGAGAGAAAAGATACACCCAAATTTAAGATTGGCTTTCTTCTAAGAGATCATGCATTGAAATTGTTCAATGCAGTGAGTGTTCAGTTAAATAACTCGGCCTAAATATGCAAAAAAAATGAACATTGAACTCCCTAATCTGATCGCATGGTTTATCGGAGGTCGCGACCTACGCAACCGAGAACTAATAGAAATGGTGTCGTAGTGAAGATCTCGGCTGAGGAAGTGTGAATAATTAGGCTGAATACGGCGCCTAGAGAATTCGCTAGAATGAGCATGGCCTCAAATGTGATGTCAACAAAAGCGATAAATAACGCAGTAAAGTAGTATTTTGTACAAGTCAGTTTATATTCGTAAGTTTTTTCATGTATTACATGAAAAAATGACAATAATATTTATTATTATTATTATTATTATTATTATTATTATTATTATTATTATTATTATTATTAACAATAGTAATAGTTATTAATAATAATAGTATTATTATTAATGTTATTGTTGCTAAGTCTGCCCCATGGTACAGACGGTTGCGGCAGACGCCGTCTGCGCCGAGGAGCTGGTTAGTCCTGCGTAGACACGGTCGTATAGGTGATTGTCCTTCACTCCTTTATTCTATCATTTCATAATTTACACTTCAATGCGTAACAACCTTGACTTACCGAGGGATCCAGCCGAAAAGTTGATCCTGAAAAAATTACACACGTTAATCGTGTAGCGTGGTCAGTAATGGCCTATAAGTCAATAATTTAAGATAATAAAAAAATATTAATAAAACAATAATAAAACGAATAAAATTAATAATTATAAAAATAAATATAGACAAATAAATGAGCCATCTGCCCAAACTATAAGTATCCAATATCGACTAGTCTAAGAAAAAAATTAAAATCTATATCATGTATTATAATTCACATAAATGTAGATTGTATGTGTACTCACATAAATTAGTAAATGCTTCGGAAACGTATTTTCGTTTAGTTTTTATTAATTTCTTTGGTTAATGTTTCTCTAAATATAATTTTTAACATAACCTAAACTAATATATTTGAGGTTGTTCATATACGCCGAAATTGTATTTTTTTTTTTTTGCCCTTTATCCCACACAGCGAGCTCCACAAACTTCTCCCTAATAAAAAAATACTCTATATCCATTATGAATTTTGTGAACACACGCTCCAAAGCCACGATTTTTGTATTTGTTGAGTCTAGACAGACGCAACGCGCCTCCAAGCCCCTTGGTGTTGAGCGCTTTGCGCTTTGAGTGATTCTCCATTAAACAAGGAATAATTTTCCTTTAATTGTCATGTCATGTCACGTCACGTCGTCGTCAGTTGTCAAGAAGACCGCCAGGTAGCATCTCCGCAACGCGTCGCCTACCACGCGCTCCTGCGACACTACCCAGCGGTCAGAATTAGGAAGAAATTAGGTCAGGGGTGGGGTTTAAGATATTTCATAGGGGTTGGACTAGCCCTTGTGAAGTAGCTAAAGTATTTCTGTTTCACATGAGATTTTCCGGGAATCGAAACGGCCCTCCTTTAGTGAAAGGGAGACACGCGACTCGCTCTGAGACACGAGCTGACCACTCAGATGAATAGATTCGACTGAGAATCAGTGGGTGCAGCCTGTGCGTCGAAACTCGCAGGAGTGATGACTGAACGGCGATAACTTGGGGCGAGCGTTCGTTGTCTGCCACCATTTAGTGACATTGTGCAATCCAGTTGGTGAGCGACTGTCATTCGGCGTCGGGTCCTGTGGCGCCGGAAACGTAAGTCAGCCCTGGAAAGATCAGTCACCTCGTGGGATGAAAACGTGCACTACACTTACGGTACTAATTACCTTGTTAATTGACGCGCCCTGAATCAGTGAATCAAACGATTAGTACATGAGCAGTTCTTTATCAAACGGGGCACGAACCGCGTATACTTTTCTTCCTTGTCCTATCCCACTCCTCATACATACACACATACACACACACACACACGTGCATACACTACACTACTGTAAAAGGCGGGAGATCAGTCGCTAGGTTGGCAACGGATCTCTTCACCCGTCGGAGGAGGAACACCACTTTCCAAGATAGACATGAACTACACTTCTGGAAATAATGACCAAAGTAGTTGACGAGGCCAGAAACGCGAAATCAGTTCATCTTGACTTCAACTTTGTTTAAAAGGGTATATCACAGTCAGATTCCTGGTGATGCCTTGAGGGAAGACCAGCTCCGAAGAAGACAATGTTAAGATAGTCGAAACAGTTTTTAATGAACATAAGATCTGCGCTATTGTCTTAAACATCTTTCACACTATCCAACAACACAAATTTCAACGAAAACGTTCGAGCCATTGTTTTGAAAATTTAGAAAGTGTTTCAGGGGCTTCATGTAAAGTACCCTCCAATATTCAAATATCGATTTCAAATTCAAAAGCCCGCGACATTAACCACATCGATTGGATAACATCAATTGTGGATAAAATCGGATGAACGGTTCAGGCTCTAGCGTTGTTGACGGGCAGAGGAACGGACGGGCGAACGTTTACACTCATACGATTTTAGGTATCAAGGACCCACGAAGTATGCTTTAGAGGACTTTTTTCTAAATTTAGCAGGCGGATTTCTCCACTTTTTCATCACAAGATCCCTGTAATATGTTTTCCGCCAAAAATTCGCCATTTTTTTGTTACAACATAACATACCTTTCTCCATGGTGCGTAAGCGATGGAGAGAAAGTAAAAATTTAACGTTTTGCAAGGTCAAACCCTTTGTTGTGTACAAATTGAATGTTGTAGACTAATATTTTCACTATTGAAAACTCAAATGCTAAAGCAAGCCACAACATAACATAACACACCACAACAATACCATCCATTTTAATTCAGTATGATACACTTTAAATGAAGTCATGAATACGAATAGCGCGAGACTGTGCGCTTGCTTCGCCAGGACAGGGAAGTGTGAATTCGGGCTCCTGTTGCAGACGGCCGCGTTCCAAACGCGCGACTGGAGCTACCTGATGCAGACGGCGATGTCGATGGGCATTGCGACGCTGGGCCAGCAGCTGCACGAGACGCACAGCGTGGGCGAGCTGCTGTTCGACGGCTTCGAGAGCACCCTCATCAACATGGCGCAGAAGCTGCCCGGCCTCGCCTCCATGGACATCCCGTTTGACCGCTTCGGCTGGTTCTACACGGTGAGCTCACCATCCCCGGGCTGGCGGCGGGCGAGGGCGTGGGCGGGCGAGGGCGTGGGCGGGCGAGGGCCTGGTTGACGGGCGCGTGTGTGTTGCAGCGCAACGGGTCCGTGGAGGCCGACGGCCACTTCACCATGCACACGGGCGTGGACGACGTGTCGCTGCTGGGCCGCCTCAGCCGGTGGAACGGCGCGTCGGCGACGCCCTTCTTCCCCGGGCCCTGCGGCCTCGTCAACGGCTCCGCGGGCGAGCTCTTCCCGCCCGGGCGCCGTCGCGGTGGCTCAGTCTCAATGTTCTCGCCTGACCTCTGCAGGTGAAAGGACGCGGGATGTCATCTTTCCAAATACTTTTAATAACATTGATGTTATGTATATTCTGTTTTATAATTATTATATACTTGGCGCAACAAGGCATTCATTTATACTCTTCGGATTATATTCTCCTTTTCAATCATTCCGTACATTGATATTTTTTTCGAACGTAGGAACGCTTATTCCACCAACAACCTTTCCAACAATTGAACTGCTCACTAGCAAAAGATGCTAAACGAGACTTTTGTCTAAATTTAATTTTAAATGTATAACGATCGTATGTGTGCGAATTGTGTGTGGTACTATCTCGTGATCGTACACGTACTAGAAAGCATTATTTTATACTTGAGCATTGTGTAGTTGGCATTAGTTGAATCTACAGAAATGGCGGACAAGGCGCTCATGTAGCCCATAACAAAGATGGCAAAACATCTGAATATTAGGACATGTATAAATGCAATACTATATCAAATTATAGGGGTAATGTTATAGAAATGTAGTCAGACGACCGATCAGTACCGGAGCAGCCATTGACAAGTCAGGGATCGCGCGATCATTCCTTCCTCGACCTCGTCCTATCCTCATTCCTTACTTACAGATTTAAGACTTACGGCTGCTCTGAGTGATAGTTTTTCGTGGTTTGTCCGATCAATACAACGGTGAAAGCGAGTCAGGTCATTTTCATACCACCGCAGTGCCTCTGACAGGGTGGTCGTGGGTTTCGAATCCCGACGGCGAGGTGCAGTTCAGCCGGTGTCTGGAGGAGAATTCTAGCGGCCGGCCGCTCTGATCGGTAGTTTTCCATGGGTCTCGGAGCAATGCCCTGAGAAGCTGGCCACGGACCACGTCTTTCCTTCCTCTTCCTTGTCCCTTACACGCACTGTACTACACTCCCACACATGTCGAGGCCACTCGAGAGTTTAAAGTTTGTCCCGACTAGAGCGATGCCACGCAGGTAGGAGATCTTATTGGGAAAAATCCGCACGTGACCGTATGTCGGCACGTGATCTCGCCATCTGCGAAGTACGATAACCTCCACTTTTCGTGATAAAACGTGCCCTACAGTTCCAAAACTAATGACGTTAGCAGATGACGCACCCGGAATCATCTATCAATGAAATAATCGAAATCATCCGAGGGCAGTTTCTAATATCCATTTCTAAAATACAAGGTGTTCGTCAGCGAGGCTCCGTTTTTGTGTGATTATTGAACTGCGGGTGCTGGTCTCAAAATTCGTTCCAAAGGAAGCTGAGCCGTCTTAGTGACAGTGAGACAGTGGTCAAGATGGCAGGTTGTCAAATGATGGCGTGGGCAATAATTACCCCCACACACACACACACACACACACACACACATTTAACCGACGGGACCTTCGTGGCGGAAGGGGCCAGCAGCGTGTGGCTAATTCAACGTTTGAGGTGGGGTTTCGCGGGTAGGCGCACACATTGAGGAGGTGTAAGCGCTACTCATTGCAGTATCGATTGTAATTATTTAATGTCATCTCAATACGTCGAAACATGCATGTATTATATGTGAATTTATTGTAGTGAGCTGTTGATACCGTTACCTGATGAATTAGATATCTACGACGTGTTGTAATTAATTATAAAAACCAGTATTGCATGAACATGTTCCCACCGTTACGTTAGACAGTTTTGACAAAAAATACTGATTCGTAAATGAATGGGTAAGACAACGGTAAGATTCCTAGGTCAATGAAGAGATGCTTTCAGAAATCATGTGGATGGCGTTCTCTTATTATTCGTTTAAGTTCTGTAATCCAAATTCTGTGCTCTTTAGGGTTAACTATCCTTCAATATTATGCCATATCTCAGGCTGAAATGAATTGCAAAATACACGCAATGAGCTGCATGAAGACTTTCAGAAGTTAAAAGAATTCTGGATGCATAACTTTATTAACTTAATGTAGTATATAATTTCATTAAATGGTTGTTTCATTTGAGATTTGTCAGAATTGTGACGCCCAGAAATTTTACCTTATCAGACAATTGGATATTGTTCATTTTGAAGGGCGCATTTGACAGCCGGTTTCACATGCAAAATTGCATTGAAATCTTTTTTCCCCTCGTTAACTGTTTGTTTTTTACCACGAAATAAATTTGAATTCCAAAATCGTGTTATTTGTTGTTCCTTTTTTGCATAAACATTTGTGGCAACAAACAAATGTTCTTCCGTTTCTATAGGAGACGCTTCTATAGATCGTTTACATTTAAAGAAAGAGGACAGAACCTCTTTACACTATCCCTTTCTTTTACTGGCCGCAGGTCCATCGAGTACCGGTACGCCAAAGACTCGGAAGTACTGGGGCTGAGCGCGTTCGAGTACGTGGCTGGCGCCGAGTTGCTGGACAACCAAGAACCTTGCTTCTGCCAAGGGGAGTGCCCGCCGCCCGGCGCGCTCAACGTATCCACGTGCCGCCTGGGCGCGCCCGCTTTCGTCTCCTACCCACATTTCTACCTGGCCGACCCGTGGTATAGACAGCAGGTGGATGGAATGAGACCGCACGCCGATAGCCATCGGAACTACATCACGATCGAGCCAGTGAGTATTTGTTTCCCTCCTTGTTTGTTTGTTTTTCCTAATTTGTTTCGTTGTGTTTATTATAATTGTTTGTTTCCTTTTTCCCTTGTGTTTATTATGATTGTTTGATTTTTTTTCCCTTGTGTTTATTATGATTGTTTGTTTCATTGTTTCCCTTGTGTTTATTATGATTGTTTGTTTCATTGTTTCCCTTGTGTTTATTATGATTGTTATGACTGATTGTCTCCTTGTGTTTATTATGACTGATTGTCTCCTTGTGTTTATTATGACTGATTGTTTCCTTGTGTTTATTATGACTGATTGTTTCCTTGTGTCCTTGTGTTTATTATGACTGCTTGTTTCCTTGTGGTGTTATTTTTCCTCGTGCTTTGTTTCCTTGTGTTTTTGTTTTTATGTGGTTTCTTAATTGATTAACGCCTGCGCCACATAACAGCGTTAAAACATAGGCGCTGAAAATAATTCAAATTTCACGCCTAACCTAAAATAGAAATAATTATATCCCATCTTTGATATAAATGAAAGGATAAAGTTTTGCATTTCAAATGTGGCGCTTTCCAATTTTTTTTTCACAATAATTATTATTCGTTAAGGTTTTCGAGTAACCAAAAGCCAATTTTTACCAGATACGAGCCAGTCTACCATTTAAATTGGAGAAAATGTCAAGTCCGTAGCAGTTAGCAAATAGTTGTCTTATTCAGTAATGTCCCAATCCGCTGCACCATTCAGCATCATAATCAGGCACAGTTCGACGCAGGCAGCATCACTCCTATAAGTACTCTCTCGTCCCAATCTCGCTGACCGACTGCCGTGCTGCTCCCTACTTTTATGTATTCTTCTCCCGGGGAAGACTCCTTCTGTTATCTAATGGCTCGCCCCACGGAAAGAACTTCGCTATTGGCGCTCTCGTTTTTTTGCTGCCTGCTCTCTGCTTTTGCCATGGAACGCAGGTCGCTGCTTCACTGCATGCGTGATATTTGTATCTACACAGCCATAACAATATTAATTGAAAAGTTATATATAAATTGTTATATTATGAAATTTGTCAACAATGATATATTAAATTACTGTTGATTATCAAGAAAATAGTCAAAATTGAGACCTAGTTAATTCTAACCCAATGAAGCTTGTCCTGGAGACTCTTCCTTGTCTGCCCAGCAACTGCTCGGCTTATCGACAGGATTGTTTTCGCCTCTGCGTACGGCCATTCTTTAGTACGGGTCTGCCATGATGCGCATCCTTCCTTTCACGTTTATTTTAATATTTGTGTATGAAATAAATATTTCACCAATTTTTAACAATTTCTTTAACGTTATTGCATTATAAAAGAAAACTGGTTTTATCCTTTTGATAGTATATTTAAAGATGATTATAGGCTAGTAATCGACTATGTTCAATGTATTGCGTTTTTAGTGAAAAAACTATAGGTATGTTGCTATAAATTTCCGCACTCTTTCTTCGCACAGTGTTAATCGAACGAAATTTTGTCATTATCGGAAGTGAAGTTGGCGGGAACTTAAGGGCACAAAGGAATATATCATTTTTAATATATATCAAATATTGAACACCATTAATTATTTATAAGTATAATTAATAAAGCAATATAAATTGATGTATAATTTATTTTTACATTTATAAATGCGAGAGAGTGACACAAGCGTTACGTAATTATTAACTGGGGGGTTAAAACCAGTGCGTAAAAGTTAGGAGGCAGCATTCAGTATACTCCAAATGTGCAGTATGTAATATAGGGCCGACTCCTAAGTCGTAAAACATACGGAGAAGGATAGTGGAGTACATTGATTCCTTACAGTTGATTCGTTTATGAATAATTAACAAGTATCACTTAAAGATGAACTAAGTTAGTGTAAGTTGGATGATGAGTGGAAACCTGAAGTCCAAAACGCTATTTTAATGCATTTATTGTAATTAAATTTATGATTTAAGGTAAATGTGTTTCATTAACTGAGCGCCGTTTACATAAGATAGGATTGTCTTCAATAAAAGTAATATTACTAGAGTGATAAGGTCTAAGGACAATAAGGTTTGAACATTTATATTTTGAACAAAATGCAAATCATAAACGATATCAAATATTTAAACTTAGGAAACAGAGTGGCTCTTTTGACGAAGTCGCTTGCCTTTCACCTGAGCGAAACAATTTTCCCAAGCCCAACAGAATGCCAAGATGTAGGCGTATTATTCTTCATAAGACATGGCTAAATCCGCCGGTTTTCTAATGTACCTTATTCTGTTTTTGTTTACATAGGCGATACGTGAAGAAAGAACACGTTAATTTCTGCTGGCACATTTCGAACCGTGATAACACGGATTGGCAATTTTGCAGTACCTTTTTCTTACAGCAGAAATTTAATTTCAATTCTCGAATATTGGCAAATTCTAAAAGACTATAGTAGTACATGCAATTGCTTGAAGACGATGTTAATTCAACAAAATGAATTATTAATTTTATCAGAATTAGTTCAGTCATAACGTTCTCAACGGGGCTGTTCTAAAACAAATTGTGGTGTAGTTTTGATGTTTAGCTCCTTTGTTTTTTGGGATGCTGTTGATGTTTGGAACAATAAAAATTGTTTTGGAATTTGAGTTGTAGCAAAGAAACTATCGAATTTATGTAAAAACTACTCTACCAACATATTATATACATGGGTTTTTATTTCTCGACTCGTGAGGGCCTGTCTTCACAATGGAATATCTCATGATATTGCGCATCTTCCTCGGTTGTGCCGCTAGATGTCGCATGATCGCCAACACTGCTCGATACGGTCGCGATCATGCGACATCTACCAGCACGATCGTGAAAGTCGCGAAACACCGTGAGATAATCCATAGTGGAGAAGCCCTGACGGGCCAACGAATAAAATCCCAAGTATATATAAAATTTCCTACAATTTTTAATTAAAATTGTTTTCGTTACGCGCCAAACGGTTGAAAAACGGATTTTTGATTACTAACGCAGCTCTGACCTTCGTTCATTAATAATGTTCTAACAGGGGCTGTTTAGAATTGCTCATTTAGGTTTAGAAATCTATCGCAAAAACGTTCGTTAGAATTTATGAAACAGCTAAAACACATTCAAAAATATTTTGTGTTCTGTTTTAACCCTAAATCTATAAAAGTTTGGTAAACTTGGCATTTTATAACATGTACTTTCTCGGATTATTTCTGAATTTGCAATTTTTGAAAATTCGAAGTTCAACCAAAACAAAACCTGCGCCATTCTTTTAGGCGCCCTTTGTTTAATCCGTGGGAAAAAATATAGAAAATCTTTATAGAAAATCTTTAGATCGGTTTTAAGAAAATTTGTTTTATATAAATTGCATCTTTATGCCCAAATTATGCGAAAACTACACTTTTCAAAAAATGTACACGACCTTTTTTAAAGAAATGATTATTTAAAACACATATTGTTTAGGAGAAAAATCTCAATCTACAATTTTGTAATATTTAAATATTATATTTCGAAATATTCGGCAATAGAGAGTTCAGCGGAAATAAGACTAGCACCAAATATTTTACTGTCCTTTAGAAAATACGAAGAGACATTTTAAAGAAAAAAATAAACCTTTTTAAAGAAATAATTCTTTCAACCGTTTTAAAAATTGCCTATCTTTCACCCAAAATTACGCGAAAACTACTCAAATTTTCGAAAAATTGGACAGAAGTCCTTCAAAGAATAGAGGTGTGGTGTAGGGGGAACAGAGGGATCATTGAGGTGCGGTTCTTTAATATTTTAGTTGTAGGAAGACTCCGAAAAAAAGTGGACTTTTACAATTTTCGAAAAATCGGGCAGTTCACAGCAAATGTTATTGTAGTCATCTGGTGGCTTAGAGCGAAGTCACTCTTTCACCTAGGAGATCCGGGTTCCATTCCCATCGAATCCCGAACAATCACTTATGAAATTTGTTTTAAAAAAATTATCTGCTTCACAAGGACTGTTCCACCCCCTGTGAAGTGTCCTAAACCCTACCCCAATCCCAATTCTGGCCGCTGGGTAGTGACGCAGGAGCGCGTAGTAGGAGGCGCGTACGCGGAGATGCAACCTGGCGGTCCTGTTGACAACTGGCTGACGCGGGACGTAACAATATTAATGGAGGATTACTCAAAGCGCTAAGGGCTCAGCGCTTGCAGGGGCTTGGACACACGTTGCGTCTATGTAGCAGCAAACTTTAAAAAAAATGAGATGTGCACCGTTCTCTTAAGCGCCCTTCACAATAACCCTGGAGAATGTTTAATCCGAAAATTGGGAGCCATTTTTGAGAAAATTTTGAAAATGTTAAGGCTTCTTGTAAAATGCTCCGAAAAATTATATTTTTCAAACTCGGAGGGCCTCGAGTTTCTTTATTGTAATAGAGAAATATAAATTTGGAGAAAATGCTCTGAACGGTTTTGGTGCTAGCTTTGATCACGGACGGACGATCTGCCATCAATATATTTGTCGGTATCAAGAACCCCAGAAGAAGTAATTTGTATTCAGAGGAACAAGTTTTATCCCCTTTCGTTACCAGGATCCGACAATAGGGTTTTTCTGTCGCCCTTCTGTTCGCCATTTTCTGGCGCATGATCACAATACTTTCTTGCCCTTACTTTCTTATAAAAGTAAGTAAAACGAAGGCCTGCATTTTGAATACTCTGTAATCTGATAGACTGGTTACGTATGAGCCATAAACTATTTTTTTCATGATCAAAGAGGCAAAATCGATAATTCTCTTAGCCGCATCTTCAACATTTTGCAGATAATCTCGAGAAGCTATTGCCCGGACGACATTTAACTTTGATATGTTTATCAAAGTTCCGCTCCAAATTTGTTCGTAGTACCAGGATTTTCGTTTCACTTGAATAGGGGATCTATGTACCACCAATTTCTATTTTCGAAATGGGAGCTTAGTCAAGTCTACGTGATGGGTCAACAATACTATAAAAAATTAGCGTAGAGAGCTAGAGAGTTATCTGAGGACTACTTTTTATCACGGGGACTGCTGAATGCAAGTTCGATCAAAGGTCGTCAGTATAAGGATATATTTTAGATGTCAGGCATAAGTTAGGTAGATGAGTAATAAAGACTAAACAATGTAGATCCAAGGATAGTGTTAAAGTGTCTCGAATTATGACTTAGGTCTTGTAAAAACATGTTAGTAATTTCAAGCAAATGTACAAGAAAATCGATGGCATGAAGAGAGAATGTCATTTGCTTTATTGAGTTCTTACGGACGAGACATGTGTAGGAAAATTATATGCACTGAAAAACAAACTAAAATCGGGTGTTGCTTTCTTGACGAGACAATCTTATAACGGATCAAGGACACTTGCCTCCACCCTGTTACGCTTGACAAAGAGGTAATATTATTTCACTACCGAGTTAAAATCGTTCCTCCTGTTATCTGAATTCGCCATGAAGTGAAAATTCCAACAGACAATTTTAATTGGAATACAAATCTGCCCTTTAAGAGAGCTGCAGATTTAAGGTGTTCCCCGGTGATTGCAGTATATTGAAGAAAAGTTCACACAAAGGGAAATTTAACAAAGATTGTAATTTTTTATCCAATACTTCTTTACGAAACGAAAGTGACAATGTAAAATTCTCTGAAATAATTGGAAGTGGTTCAACTAACCAGTGATTCAGCAATTCAAATCACCAATGACATTTCAGTCGTCGATGTTCTATAATCAGTAAATATCCATTGTTCAGGTTTGTTTGTGGCAGGATTATGGTTTTTCATGCACCTGACATTAAAATATCGTTTACGTATCTAATACACATGCATACATTATTTATAGGCGTTTATTTTATATTACAATGGAAGATCGGAAAAAGTTTCGTTCTATGGATTACCCTCGACCTGGACATTCGAGATCGGGAGGGCAGACACGCAGTCTGGAGTAGAAGGATCGCGGGTTCGAATCCCCCTCAGGCCTGGATGTTTGCTCGTGTGCGGTGCCGAGGTTGGGGCTTTTCCAAACCACACTTAATAAAACCACAATTCGTCAGTTTCCTCCCCCAAACCAACCTCCCCAAACCAGCGGACAGATGTAAGAAGACTCGTTAATGGATTTAAACTTGAGTATTACGTGAGGGACGACAATGTCTGTCCCTTAGCTGTAAAATGCTTCAAGCCTGTGCGCTGCAGCGGCAAGTTGGCTGCTAGTAGCCCAAGGGCCACTGAAGCCTGACGGTTGGGAGGCGCGGGTGATTACCTTCCCGGTGTTGGGGGCGTCAATGTAAACCTAAGGGGTTTACCAACATTACAAACATGACGATGATAATGATGGATCACCCTCTAGTTTGAGCAAATCTTACATTGAGTTGGTGATAAATTGTAGTTACGTTTCAGAAAACCACTGTCGTCAGATTTTTGTGCTGCTTATATTTGGTAGGAAACCCAAATAGCGTCTACAATGTTTTAGTTCCCAAGACGGCTAACATCAGTCTACCATATGATGCATTGTTCCATGTGGCATTTGACTGAGAAGGTTTTATTAGGTTACATCGGCCTGTTGGTGCTCGGGTAAATTATCTACATACATCAATTTCACCAAATAAGAAAGTCGTGCCATAAATCGCGATGTTATGATTAGTGCTAATTAGCATGTTATCTGTAAACAATCTTTTGATAGAAGTTTCCCAAATTTCTTGCCTGTTCCGATCATAACATTCACCATTACGTGAGGATAGGAGCTTTCGAATATAGCCCACTAAGATGTTCACAAGATAACCTACTAAACGGTAATCGTAACGTTTTGTGAGATTTATTATTTTCGTAGATAGTATAATGTAAATAACGGAGCAAAGGGCAAATGAAAGGAGCATTACTAGCTGTAAAAAAAACTTAACAAAAAACAAGTCAATTGTTATAGAGTTCTCACAGCCGTCATCCAAAAGTTTAGCTCGCGGTAAAGTTTTTTTTTCTAAACGCGACAGCTGTAGATCAGTACCTCTATCACCTAAGATCTTTAATCATATTTCCCCCAAAATAACAGAAAGAAAAGTATGAATCGTCGACAGTGGCTAGTAGAACTTCCGTCAAAAATGCTCTTTGAGTCGATAAAAAAATATTAAACTGAAAACATTAAGCAAATATAAACGAATCCGAGATCAAATCCGAAATAAAGAAACCGAGAAAACACAAATATGGAATGACGAGATAATTCTTTAGTGTTCATAATCATTGAATTTTGAAAAGGAAGTTTAAATTTTCTTCTTTTTGCCTTTGTAATATCTCCAGAAAAACCTTTTTCAAATATTTTTTTTCTAATTTTACTATTTTTTTGAGTGGACTATCTTCAAATAATATACGATGTGATGGACAAGTTTGAAACGACGTTTCCGAATCTGAAAAATATACTTTATAAGATTGTTTTTTATACATTTTACATACTGATAGTACTATGTTCTTGCCAACGCCATCTCGCTTGTATTTTCAATATAATTCTGGAAATAAAAAACGTTCTTTCTCTGTGACAGACTACAGGAATTCCTCTGGATGTGGCCGCCAGATTCCAAATCAACATCCTTCTTCAAACATACAATTCCATAGGGTGAGTTGGATATTTATTAAAAATTATACCGTGTGTCATTCTGCAACAATGACATTTCTACAAGAGAAAATACTATCAAGAGCATGACAGATGCAAATATAGTCTTACCATTAATTTACCAGGGAAAATTCGCATCATGAGTGCTATAGCAGCATTCCAGAAATGTTAGAAATTCGCCTTGTTGTTCGCCTAGACCTTTAGTGGAAGGGGAGCAAATAATTTCCAGCATGTGAGAGGTCTGGACTGTACGAAGAGGGGGAGAGAAAGAAGGGGAGGGGGAGAGAGGGTTCTTTCCGTGATCCATTTTTTTCACCTCCCGGCAGTCGGTCTTGCTCACTCTCACCCGGCTGTCCGGCAAATGATGTTACTGTATAAATAGTGCATCTTCATGACCCTCCGATACAAAACTCAGATCACACATAACTACGTATTTATTCTCACCAAGATGATCGTAAGACGTTTGAAAAATCTTTACACCCGAAATGTAAAAACAATACATTTGCATCATTTCGGTTATTTATCTTCCCCAAGGCTGGTACTCGTATATGCAATGTGTCCCTATATAAATAACACCTCTAAGGGTTGCGTATTTATTACGAATTGTACTCAATGACACTTCAAATTTATATTTGAACATGTTTGAATATGTTCACATCTCTTAAGGTTTTGTTTAAAACCACATCAGGTTGGTATTACTGACAATATAATTGAATTTGAAGTAACTCCTTGAATATTTTTCAGTTTAATAAACAAAATTATTTCTGTATATGACGCAATTAAAAGTAAACATTAAGAGGTTTCATCTACGGGATGTTTATCACCATCCATATTTATTTGTATATTTAGAATACTACAATCACTTCTATTAATTATCAGTCATGTTGTACCGGGTTTCGAATATTTTTTTGGCAAACTATTATACATGCAAAAACATTGCAGCTGTATATATGTGTGTGTGTGGGGGGGGCAGACACTCGGCTTCTCTATTTTATGTTCTAAGAAACCGACAATTTTGAAACATTTTGGGAGATGTTGATGTTATGAGATCATATATAGTCTCGCAATTTTGAATTTAAAAAAGCAAAAATCGATACATAGTTTTCACGACTACATAGAAAATGTGAAAACATGCAATAAATATTCTCTTCATATTCGTCGCGCAAGAATTGGATTCGGCTTTAAATTTAAATGAGAATTTGTTTATTAGATAACACATAAACGAACTTCAATCTCGAAACAGAAGATTCATTTCTGAATTTAAAATAAAATGGAAAGTTCGAAAGCTGAAAAATAGCGTTATCTAACCAGCAATAATTTCCTCCGCAATATATGCGTTTTTTGAATCCGCACGTCTGCTCCAACTCCGTTATCAATTTTAAGCGTCTGTAGAGGACAAACTGAGCGAGACTTTCGAAAACGGCTTGAAGAGTAGAATTGCATGGGAAGTGCGAAACTACTGTCTGCCAAAAAACGAGAGTTGTTATAAGATGCAAATTTCTTATAAAGAATTAAATATCTCGAAAGAAAAGGCATTTGCGCCGATCAGATTCCGGAATTTTGCAACTCGTTGAATGGCTGTTTGAGATGAGGCAAAAATAAAATTTCCAAATTTTGCAAATTTTAAAAAAATGTACATTTTTTAAAAAATCTACAGCGCAGATGGATCCCTGGTACTGTCGAACCTGTGTATTAACAATTTCGCAATAATTAACAATTTGATAAACAATTTAGTTTACTTAGTGATTCTGGGCGCGTCAACTGCTATGGTCATTAATCCCTTAAGTGTAGTGCAGGAATTAGCGGTAATCTTTCTCGCTGGCTGGCGAGGTGCGGCGCATATCTACGTCTGCTTGGCGTTTTTTCCACAACCAGGTATCTCCCACCAGCGTGGCACCGCCCCAGCCGGGACAAGGTGCTCCGGGATTCGCCTAGTAGTATTGATTGGAGAAATCGACGAGATACCGATCAGAGCAGAACGTTGCTAGAATTATTTTTCAAACAGCGACTGAATTCGACCTAGCTGACAAGCAAGTGTCTAAAATCCTGACGCCGTCGGGACTCTAATCCCAGGTCATCCCAGCTAGAAGCACTGCAGTGTCATCAGTTAATGTCCAATGATAATTTTGCCGGTATAGACAATTTAGAAATGTGCGCTATTGTGCCGGGGAAGGTCCCCAAATTATCTGAGGTCAGCATTGCAAAAAAATTGATAGAGATGTAAATTGATTGCCACATGTACAGTTTGTTTCTAAAATCTTAAATCTTGTAAACACTGATCTTTGAACACTACTACTTCAATACAAATATTCTTCCCAACCAGGTGCCGCGTTCGCACACTTCGAGTGTCTCGATTTCGAAATATTTGTTAATGTACTTCAGTAATTTTTCATTGAAAGAAGGTATAATATTCGGTTGATTTTTCGCAAGTAACTCTTGATTTTGTGAAACTAGTTGAAACTTTTTCAAGTCCACCAGTTCTATTGTATAAGCTGAACATTTTAGGTCGTAATTTATAATGTTATCTTCATAGAAATATTTATTTGTAGGCGATTGATTGCACTAGGATGCGATGTGACTTCGGCGCCAATACTCTCAACCTTTGAGAATAATCGCGCATATCCTTGCTAGAGA